ACATACATACATACATACATACATGCATACATACAGACATACCTACATACAGACATACTTGCATACATACATACATACATACATACATACAGACAGACAGACAGACAGACAGACAGACATACATACAGACATACATACATACATACATACATACATACATACATACATACACGTACTTACATACATACATACAGACAGAGATACATACAAACAGACATACAGACATACGGACATACAGACAGACAGACAGACATACACACACACATACATACATACATACATACATACATACATACACACATACATACAAACATCGGTATTCGGACATTCAAACGATGCATGCAGAGTGCTGCGAGAGAGGAGAAAGAGGCAGAGCCAGAAACACGATGCATAAGAGCGAAAGAGAGAGAGAGAGAGAGAGGGTAATGATTCCTGCCCCGACGACTCCTGTTCCTGCTCCACAGCACCACCACCACACAGTGCGGGACCCCAGTTTGTGTGACGTTCCCCTAGATGCCCTTGACCGTACCCCGTGCTTCTTGTTCCCGAGGGACCCGCACTGACACCGTTGTCCGGGGGCAGAAATGGTTTGGAAGCTGGAATAATTCAGTGTGTAGTCTGATGCTGCCAGCAGAGGACAACGGCACATGCAATGTGGCGACTACAGAACGCCCTACCCTGTAAGAGCGGGGACACAGCTGGCCACCACCACCAACACTCGCACAGACGCTGTCAAGGTCTACGAGGCGGGATCAACTTGAGTGTGCGGGTGTTGGTGGTGGCAGTCATGTTTCACTCCAACTGACAACTGCGGACACAGGCGTAGCGCTTGCGCGCAGGGGTTCAGGGGACACCCCCTGGCCCCAAATGTCATGCAAGCAAGCAAGCAAGAGAGAGAGGGGAGCTTGCATCCCCAACCCCGAATTCCCTGCAAGCAAGCAAGCAAGAGAGAGAGAAAGAGAGTAAGCGAAGGGTGATGTCTTTCGACTACGGGGGACGTGACTGCCAGCCGCTTCGGGCCTGTACAGCCGAGCCGTCTGGGGGGAAACCCCGCAGCGGGCGAACCACAGGTGCGCGCTCGCGCGAGGGGGTGGGGTGGACCTCCTGCCCCCTCTGTCCTGGTAGAAAGAAAGAGAGAGACAGTGAAGAGACCGATGGCACAAACAAGTATGCTTGTACAAATATACGCAAATGTGACAGAAATAATGTGTGTGTATATATTTATATATACACACCACACACGAGTACATGTATCTATATATACATTATACATACATTTCATATTAAAAGTGGATATGTACATAAGAACACATTGCAGTTACCCATTCATCCTGGCTTGAAAGCTTGCCATGACTCCTGCTGTTTCCATCGCTGTGATGCTTACGAATGCGAGCATCGTGACTAGTACTATTTACTATTTTGCTTCGTTCAGCCCTTATGTTGTATGTATGTATGTATGTATGTATGTATGTATGTATGTGTTTATGTATGTATGTATGTATGTATGTATGCATGCATGCATGCATGTATGTATGTATGTGTGTGTTCATGCATGCAGCATGCATGGATGGATAGATGGATATACGTATGTACGTATGTACGTACGTATGTACGTACGTACGTATGTATGTTTATGTTTATGTTTATGTTTA